AAACCGTTAGATCTGATCGTGGTGGTGAGTACTACGGTAGATATGATGGTTCAGGTGAACAACGTCTAGGACCATTTGTTAGATACCTAGAGGAATACAGTATCGTCCCACAGTACACCATGCCGGGTTCACCTAGCATGAATGGTGTAGCTGAAAGACGAAATAGGACTCTTAAGGATATGATAAGAAGTATGATTGCTCATTTTTCTTTACCAGAGTCTCTTTAGGGAGAAGCACTTAAGACAACAGCTTATATTCTGAATAGAGTACCTAGTAAAGCAGTTGCTAAAACACCTTATGAGCTTTGGACTGGTCGAAAGCCCAGTTTAAATCATTTACATATTTGGGGATGTCCAGCTGAGGCAAGGTCTTATAGGCCAAATGAAAAGAAATTAGACTCCAAAACAGTTAGCAGCTACTTTATTGGGTACTCTGAACGCTCTAGGGGCTATAAGTTTTATGATCCCACACTAAGAAATATTTTTGAGACGGGAACAACAACATTCTTTGAGGATGTTGAGTTTGGGAAGAGAAATAAGGTTAGAGACATTGCTTTTGAGGAGAAATTGGCTTCAGATCCAATCCATACAGTTACTTTTGATAATATTCAGGTTCCTATACCTGTTGTTGCTCAAGAAGTAAATCCGGAACCTCAAGATGACAATATTGAACAACTCCCCGTTCTAGAAGAACAAACTCAACAACCTCAAGAACCGTGTCATTAAGGAGATCCACGAGAGAAAGGAGAAATGCTATTCCGGATGATTATATTGTATTTCTCCAAGAACATGAGGAAAGTAGTGGAATGTTGGAAGATGATCCAATCAACTTCTCTCAGGCCATGAAAAGTTCTAACTCTTAACAGTGGATTGATGCCATGAATGAAGAGTATAAGTCTATGCAAGACAATAAGATTTGGGAACTTGTCCCATTGCCAGAAGGTGCAAAACCAATTGGTTGTAAATGGATTTTTAAAACCAAACGGGATGCAAATGGTAATGTGAAGAGGTATAAGGCACGTCTTGTGGCTAAAGGCTATACTCAAAAGAAGGCATTAATTATACAGAGACTCTCTCCGGTTTCATCGAAAGACTCTTTCAGAATAATCATGACACTTGTTGCTCATTATGATCTTGAGTTACATCAGATGGATGTTAAGACTGCATTTCTCAATAGAGACATTGATGAGATGATTTATATGGTGCAACCAGAAAACTTTGTGTCAGGAGACCCAAAGAATATGGTCTGTAAATTAAGGAAATCCATCTATGAACTCAAGCAAGTTCCTCGTCAATGGTATCATAAGTTTCAACAAATAATTATCTCGTTCGGTTTTGAGATGAACATTGTTGATGACTGTGTATATCACAAGTTCAGTGGGAGTAAGTATATTTTTCTGGTTCTGTATGTCGATGACATATTGCTTGCCACTAATGATATAGGCATGTTGCACGAAACCAAGAGATTTCTATCAAAGAATTTTGAGATGAAAGATCTTGGGGACGCCTCTTTTATATTAGGGATCCAGATACATCGAGATCGCTCTCAGAGTATTCTTGGATTATTACAAAAGAGCTATATCGATAAGGTACTTAAAAGGTTTGGCATGCAAGATTGCAGACCAGGAGATACCCCTGTTGCTAAAGGAGATAAGTTTAGTCTCAATCAGTGCCCTAAAGGTAACATTAAAATTCAGGAAATACAGAAGATTCCTTATGCTTCGGCTGTAGGAAGTCTAATGTATGCTCAGGTATGTACGCGTCCGGATATTACGTACATTGTCGGGATGTTAGGCAGATACTTAAGCAACCCTGGTATGGATCATTGGATAGCAGTCAAAAGGGTTATGATGTATCTTCAGAAAACAAAAGATTACATGCTCACATACAGAAAATCAGAACAGTTAGAGGTCATTGGGTATTCAGACTCTGATTTTGCTTGATGCCAAGATAGCAGGAAGTCTACATCTGGCTACATTTATATGCTAGCAGGAGGAGCTATATCATGGAAAAGTATCAAACAGACACTAGTAGCTTTCTCCACTATGGCAGCAGAATTTATATCTTGCTATGAGGCATCCAATCAGGGAATATGGCTGTGAAATTTTGTCACGGGACTGCGTATTTTAGAAAATGTTGAAAGACCACTAAGGTTATATTGTGACAATAAATCTGCAGTAATGTATTCCAATAACAACAGGAGCTCAACTAAGTCAAAACATATTGACATTAAGTTCCTGGTTGTGAAAAAAAGGGTACAGAGTGGACAGATATCCATAGAGCACATTGGGACAAACTCCATGATAGCTGATCCTCTTACTAAGGGATTGCCACCCAAGGTCTTTCATGAGCACACTGCTCATATGAGTGTGATATTATTTGAGGATATTATGTTTTAGTGGGAGTTTGTATTTATGGTGCTTTATGTTTGGTTGTATTGTCTGATCAGAATAAAGTATTCAGTTAAGACACTCTGCTACATTATGTTTGGTTTTAACCTCACTAAAGGAGGACCAGTTAAAAATAGACATGTACTGATCACATTGCATGTAATTTTCATGCTGCACATCCATGATTGATCTATGTCGTTTGATTGTATTGGTATATGTGACCATTGATGGGTCGAGTCACGATAAATGTGACGAAGGCCGCTTTGATCCTATATTGATATAGTCAATGGACGAAATTGTTCAGAAATACCTTTTCAGTGATAACAATTTTTGAGCTCATAAGGTTATACACAATTTAAGGAATCATATGGTGCCCAAGTGGGAGATTGTTGGATTTAATCTAATAAATCTATTTGTGAGCACATATGATTAATCAATGTGTATTGCTATCTTTCAGGATAACCCACTAAAGTGATCAATTAATTTAGATTAATTGGGTATTTAAATAAGTCATGGGGTTATATGTGCAGATACCAGGTTGTAACTGTGATTTGTTGAGGGGTCAAATTACAAATGTACAACATCTATAAATAAGGGGTTATAGTTCCTAATCTAGGGTTACATTCTCTAATTCTCTTCACCCTCATCTAGAGAGAAATTCGGCTAGAGAAAACCCTAAGGTTAGAAGATCCAAAACTCATCTCAAGATTTCATCTATTGATTCAGGTATAAGCTTCCGCTCTATTGATTCTTGTTAATCTCTTCGAATTAATCATGACTTTATGGTTTTAGATCTCAAGTTCTTTATTAGATCTAACACTGTTCTGCTATTCTGATGGTATACAAGACAATACTCTAAAACAAAATATAATTTCTAGATGGTTGAAAGGGTATCAGGTTTTGCTTCGGGAAAAGACTGGAATATCTTTTCCTTTCTCAAAAAACATTAGATCATGATCATAGTGTTATGCTCTGATACCACTTGTTGTGCTTCGAGGAACCAAACCAAACGCCGAGAGAGAAAATGCCAAACAATCCAAAAATAATGGCACAAACACAAACAACCAATTTTACGTGGTTCGACAAGTTACCTACGTCTATGGGGCAAGAAGGGGATGAGTTTTCACTAATAGAGAAGGAGAGTACAAACTGAGATTACAAATCACTCAAAACAAACCAACGAATCTCACCAACAAAGCTCTCGATCTCTCAAACAATAACCCTAACCAATAGCTCAGAAAGATCTCTCTTTTCTGTGCTCCAATAACCCCAAAACAATCCCGAAGGAACCCTAAAACATGTGTTTGAATTTATATCAAACACCAATCACAAACAGAACAGGAAACCGCAATCAGGTCCAAACCCGACACGCGGTCGACCGCACTTGACGCCGCGGTCGACCGGACAAAACGACAGAGCCCAAAATTCAATTACAGTGTCTGGCAGTCGGCTGTCGAAATCGTCGCGGTCGACCGGCAAAAGATCCAGAATCTGTACCAAGTCGTGCATGTTGCCGGTCGACCGTGCTAAAGCTCGCGGTCGACCGGAAAGCACCCAAATGTCTGTCAACTCTAAAAATCCTGTTCTTCTCCAATGTTTTCGCTGTTTCTACACAGTGTATAAGAAATTAGCAGTATAAGCTATTACAAACAATAAAAGATTTATCTGCACTTGATGACCATGCTATCCCTTTCTTGGCTAGTTTGATGTGAGATTTATGCTTTATGTCCTATCCCTTTACTGAATCTCATGGTATCCATAAACATTTGTTTTTGTATTTGATTTGATTTCAAGTAATTGTACTTGCTTGCGTGTGTTTATGTTTTTAGCTTTTTATGCACATTTCATTAAGCTTCAAATCTGTTTGGGACTACTTTATGCAAAGGTTTTTGCAATCGAGTTGTGGGTTGACAATGGATATCAAGATAATCTTACAGTAGATACACCGCCCTTTTGACCATCTGGAGAATCCTCCAGCTCAAATTACATGGACATGCAGGAAGAAATTAGCATTTAAAATTGACAATGGTGAGGTTTGAGGTCGGAGATTCTTGAAAACCTGGTGCTTTCATATCGACGTCAAGAATCACTTTTCACAAAAAGCTTAACCTGTTGAGCTATCAGTTAACAATGCATATAAACCTAATTAATGCAAATGTGATTATAGCCGCTATAGCGCAATTTGCAAATCAGAATGTTATACATGCTAAGTATACACCATTGAAACAAATGTTAGCTAATTCGCAATAGGTATACACGGATGACGGATGTCACCTTTTAATTCTCTGAAGACAGAACAAACATGAGTTTGAAATAAATATTTCACAGAAAATAAATATTTCACAAAACTTTCACTTCGAAGGAACGGCTTAGAGATAGTATATTACCGTTAAGACAAAATATATCAATAGACTTCACAATCTTATTTTGGTTTAAGCTCTTTATCACTTTTAGTAAAGCTAAATCCTATATGCTCCTGTGATATACCAACACATTCTTGCTTATACTGTCTTTTATCTATTTGTCCGACTTTTATGTTGTAAAAGCCTCAGAATATAATGTTTCAGGATAAATTTGATTGCTGAAATTCTTGAGAATATTTTGACTGCAGCATCTTCTGGGAATATACCACCATATGTGGCCAGTTACATGCGCTCCGAGTTCTAGCTTGAGTACCTATATGAAACCATAATTAACACAGGGAGTGCGCGCCCTGTGAGTTTAATCACTTGTCTTGAGAGTTGAGGCCCTAAAAAGGATGGTAGAACTTTGTAAAGGGGGAAAGGCAAGTGCCAACAAGCAGCACCATTATCTCTAAAAGTCATTGTCCTTACTGAGAAAGATGTATGATTTGATCCAAAAAGCCCCTCTTTGTAAGTTGGTTCTCCATTTAATTCTCATGGGAGGGAATTTTGAAGCTAGAAGATTCAAGCTGAAGGTTATTGGTTCTTACAAAAGAGTACGTTAGTCTCATGAATGTGTCGCTCATCCAATACACCTAATCATACAAGGTCTTTCTTCCTTTTCTTTCTTTCTTTTTGAACACTACCACCACTTTAGTGACGTCTCTCTTTATTCAGGGCAAAGCTCGAGGCCATATTCATCTTTGTGACCAATAATATAAGCTCGCACTATGATAAATAATCAATATGTAATTTTATTACCATTAAACCGTTGGCAATTATCTTAATTTTAGCCATAAATAGAAAAAGGCATAAATAAGTAAGAGGCAAGTGGTATCCTTCTATATTTTATGTGATCAAAGGTACATGAATCTTTTCTTTTCATAAAGTTTCTCTCATGTTTTTAATTCACTTTGAGAAGGTCCATTCATTACAAGGCAGCATGGAAGGACCTAGAAATCTGTTAATAAATTATTTTATATATATATATATATATATAAGTGGGAGAAGAGCTGACAGCTTTTCTCCCCCGTGAGCTGACAGATTCATGACATGTGGGACCCTTACTAGTCTCACGGGGGAGAAGAACTGCCAGCTCCTTCTCCGGCATCCTCTATACACGCGCGCGCGCACACAGATATATATATATATATATACACACACACTCACACTCACACACAAAGGCTTTATCATAGAATCTTTTATGCTCTTGGGTTTAAAATATCTGATGTGGATTCATTTTCATATAAAGAATTTACTGAATGCAAATGGGTATAAATTAAAATAGTTGCGGTCAAATGTTGGATATGGAAGATTTTTTTAGTTCATATTCCTTTTTAATATCGGCGCTGCTATCTCGATGTTCGCTTGTAAATTATTATGTATTTCCACTATATGCATGAAACTTTATGAAACATGATGAAAGCCATTATTTTTACTAAGGTTTTTACCCAAACAACAAGCGGCCATACCCAAACAAAAAAATTTCCTGCATTTTTGGGTGTTCTGCCTTGGCTAGTTGTTCCCGGTGAATAACATGCCTCCTTTCCACATCTACAGCCACATGTAACCCTATTGATGTGTTCATTTCTATGGAAAATGCTGATTCAGTTTTCTGAACATATATATGTTATCTAGACCCTCCTGATTAACCAATTAAACAAAGTACCAAAGCATCAGGACCGGTCCGTAATTTCAGACTAAAAGGGAGTATTTTGCAATAAGCCTCTTGCTTTGCCAGCCGTTGAGGTCCAATCACCAGCTCTTTTGGTCTTTTGAGAGCTAAAAGAAGCAGGCAAGAGAATTTAGAGATTCTGCAAAATTCCCTCTCTATGCTCCCACAATTAAAGTAGTAGTACTTTTTGCTACTGCGCTTGCTCTCCTGTTCCTACTCCTAGCATCTTCAACTTCTTTTATTAAACCCACTAGACCGGTTCATTAGTTCACTCATTGTTTGTAAACCTACAGCCAGGGTAATTGATATAAAAAATAGAAAAGTTGGTTGTGTGTACCAAAGGAGACAAATCTACTGTAGTGTGAATGCACCTGAATGTCATATTTATTTATTTATTTATGCACATTGTTTCCTACAGTACTGCATACTTATCAGTCCCTGATTGTTTCCTCATTTAGTCCACTTAAGGATCTCTTTTATTAACATAGCTGCAGTGATAGATTTTTCTTCAAACTTAATATTTTTTTTACCACTTCAGAATATGTATTTGTTCAGAAGAAACACTTTATTATTTCTTTAAAGTGAAGAATATTCTTCCCAAGCTCTAAGGACCTGTGGATCATCTTCTTGGTACAGATAGAGAGTTAAAACGCAGTACAAGGACTGCCAAAGAAATCATCTATGCTAGTAGTACCTCGTCCAGGTAAGCTCAACAGCTCGTGTTGTTTTTTTTCTGGTATTTCTATAATCCATTGTTATTTGTACTGATCAATATTTCTTCGCACCACATAAATGTCACAGTATTGAAGGTTGACGCTATTGTAAACGCAATCTGCTTTAGACTTGATAGAGTTGTGCTTGGTAACTCATATTGGGTTGGTAGTCGCAAACTTGTGGCAAGGTTGGACCAAAAACTGTCCGACAGACTTTGTACCAAATCTTCATCTTTGTCGCAAGATTATATTCAGTTGCATGCACATGCAAAGGTAAATGCGTATCTTGGACATGTAACTTTATAGATCACCATTAGGATTTGCCCCACAGTGCCCCGGGATACGAGGATAATTTAGGAGATATTACACCTTCCCTGGGACGACATAAAAGCCTTGCCTGTCTAATTACTTCTATTGTTCTCAAGAACGATAAATATAGAACAAACATCAAATAGAGCCCATAGAGGTAACCAAAATATAGTTTATGTTCCTGATTTAGTTTATCTGATGATCAGTCATGTGAATCTGATTATGTTTTACGATGTCTGTCAGCTACCTAATGCAACCCTCCTTCTTTATCCTTGCCTGGGAGAGACTGTGCTAGCCATAAAATAAAGCACAACATTGACGAAGTTGTTGTTGTAGTTCAATTGATGCTCAGTGCATTCGTTTTTGTTATGGTGTTTTCAGTCGTCGAGTACTGCCCTTTGCCAGCAACATACAGATGTCCCCCTTACATGCACCACTCAAACCAAATTGACGGTCAGGGCAACTAAGGATCCCAACTTAGCCGACCCGCCGAGTCAACGTCTGCTTAGGCCGACTCGACGGGCGGTACTTGTCAGTTTTCTTGTCAAAGACGACTCGCTAAGAGCCTATTCGACCAGTTATTCGACGCCTCGCGAGGTAGCCTCGAAAGACGTTACTTCTCGGCCAAGCCAAAGGACGACCTCAGACTCGAGCTTCTCCCGCTGATAGCACGTCGGTGTCACATTTAATGCTTGACAGATGTATCATACCTCTAGCCCCGATAGTCTTCATGACTCATTGGACCACGTCAACACCGTCATACCTCCAATCACTTCGTATTAAATGCTGAGGTGATCTGTCCTCCACTTGCCGACCGACACATGTAAAGTAGGTGCTAACGCAGCTGCCAACCCATACCTATTTACAACCATCCTGTGCTCAACCGAAATGACGGTTATACCCTTTTAGCACCACTATAAATAGAGGTATTATTCTCAACATAAAAGGGAATTTTTATGCTAAGCAACCGAGGGAGGCTATTTTTCCAAGCAATATCTGATAATTATACTTCACTACACTAAAGAATTCACACGATTTTTTATTTTTCCACTCAAGTTCATCAACTGACTTGATCGTCGGAGATACAACAGGGGAACTAAGCCTCGTCCTCTCACGAGTTGCTACTTGTGCAGGTTGAAGCTACTCAACTAAAAACCAGATATTCGGAGAAATAAGCGACCCCTAAGCAACCTCACCCCCACCATATATTTGATTGTTTGATTATTTAACATCAACAGTTTCATATGTCATTACATATGTAACCTCCTTTCTCAAATTTTTAATGAATAGATATGCACTCTAAGTAGGAGCCTTTATGTCTAGACAAATGCGTTCACACAGTGAGAAAGAGAGCTTCAGCAAGAAGATTAAGAAAGTAATAGATTTACAAGAAAGTAATTCAGAGGAAAGTAATCTGAATGAGGCTTCTTCCTTTTTGAGGATGGAAAAAGTGATGAAAGAGGTGAGCCTAAAGTGAAGGGGAATATATTAATGTTGGGATGTCGAAAGAATGGATGGGCATGTGAGAGGTGAGTAATTCTCTCCCCCTGCTTTGTGCTTCACATATCCACTAATTTTCAAAACCCTAATCCTAATCTTTTTCGCAAAGCAAAACACGACAAATTCCCTACTTACACTTGGATCTTTAATCTGAGATGTTGGAAGGTAGATAAGATTATCTTTTTAGGATTCTAAGGCAGCCACTTTAAGGTCTGAAAACTAGATGCTTATCTTTTATTTTGTATTAGTCCTTTAATCGCCCTCTGCTTTTTTCCCCCTCTCAAGAGGAGGATGTTGGATTATGTAATTTAAAGCAAGGAAAAGGGATTCCTTTTCAAACCGCATCACCATGCATGAAAAGTTGAGCCCTTTTGATATTTCTTAAGGAAGATTGTGCTTTTGCCTTCTAAAGTGGCTCCACCTTTGTAAAGCTCTTAAGTTTTGAATCACACCTTAAACCTCCTTTGTTTTCTTTTCAATCTGATATCAGTCCTGTGCACCTCATGCCATCATTCAATTGGTTTTCCTCCCTCCATGTAAGTTGTGAGCCTCTATGATGACAAGATTGTAGGCATTCAAGTGCCTGTGCATTTTGGCAGCCCACTCTCATTCTCCAATCAAACTGTGTCCTCAGTTTATATATAATATATATATATATATATATATATATGAACGCTTATCAAAGGGATAAAAATAATAAAAACTGTTCCTGTTTATGTCATTGGTTATTGATGTAGACCCTGTTGGGCGACAAGTGTCCTCTTGTTTATAATTAAAGTTTTAATCATGTTATAATAATCCTGTAATGGGGATGGACCTATCAAGTTGATGGATACAAGGGGATGGAAGCGTACTCTACACCTAATGTTATTCTTCTTTCTATCAAGTAAAACTTTACTTATCCTGAGGAACTAATTAAACAAAACATACAAATCATTATAGTATTATAGTTAAATTATAATGAGTTACAATAATATATCAACTTAGTATGTGCACCACTATATGCATGTTCTTTCCAGGCAACCAATAGACTAAGGAATTTTTTGGGTAATATCGCGACATTTTTTCATGATTGTAGCACATTTTTGTAACTTTGAAATTTTGAATTAGGTACTGGTCAGTGTACATGGTTGGCAGCTTAGGTGGCTATTTCAAAAATAATATATCCATCCTTAAAATGACACAGGTAAGGAATATTTATGGAAAGTAAACTTACTTTGCTCTGTCCACCAAGGATTTGCACCAGTGCACCAGTTTGAAAGTTTTAGATGTGGGTGTCGCTACATTTTAATATCTACTTAGTGCCAGCATATTCATCCCATGACTTTAAGATGGCAAGAGTAGTTACTATCGTTCAGTCTAAAAAGTTGAGGATTAATTAAGTTTAGTTTATCTCTTTAAAGATAGTAAGGAGTCTAATTACTGGGCTTATGGTATTTTTCAAACCTCCTCCTTCGAGTCCTTCGTTATTTCTAATTTTTGTGAAAATATTCAGCTTGATCCTTCCTTAATTTGTTGTCTTCAGCCTTTTGGCTAATTAATTCTTTTTATAGTATTGCTTATAACATATCAGGTCATTACACTTCGTTAATTCCTTTTTTCTTTGAGTAATTACGATCAACTAATCCCACAACTCTCTTGGAAAGGAATCAGAGTTGCATGCTATTATAAATCAGATTCATTTGATAAGAATTTATTGACAATGTTTTACATAAATCTTTTTACAAGTACAGTGTGCATCATGGATCTGTTTCCTTTAGCTTAGCCTGATTACATAAAACTGTATATAAGTTTTGAATTTTTGATCAGTTACAGACCAATTATGTTCTTAGATATGATTTACATTTTATGTCTTATAATTTGCTATAGATTTCATTATCTGAACATCTAATGCATCCAACTCTAGCCAGCATCTTATGTGGGTGTATTCTGCCCCTTTCCCTCAAGACCATCCCATTTTTGGGCATAACGTGCACCTTCAATTACACTATTATGCATGCATTATCTTTCGTTCTCGACCTTTCTATGTGCTCATATCTAATTCAGAAACCTCATATATGATATTTGCTGAAATATCGACATGCCATTATTAATTAAACTTGAATAAAGATTGTCTAGTTTGGCCAAAAGGGATCTTAAAAGGAATCTAGGCATCGTTAATTACAGTTTAAGGCTAGTGGAAGAGTATACAAAACCATTATGGATTACATTAGGGGAAGCAAATATGCACCTTTTAATGCAAAAGAGATCTTTGATCTAAAATTTCTGGTGCCAAAAGAAGATAAGCTTTTGTGTTGTACATTAATAATGTTAATGAGGTTGGTATAGACGACCATGAAGTGTTATTATATATGAGAACCATGCACAATTCATCTAAAATGAATACAAAAAAATAGGGCAACTATCTTAAAGAAAAATAAAAAAGCTGTCTAATTATTCAAAATATGAAGATAAAGCCACAAATTAAACGTAATTAACTGAGGAAGCATATGAATTTTAAGATAATAATGATATCAGCAATAATCCCAACCGTGCAAATCCTTTAATTTTACTCTACAATGATGACTACAAAATAATTGTACAAGTATTTTCTAGCTGGTACAAGATTTCTTAGGCCAAGTCTTTTTTGTCATTCCAAAATTTACAGGAAAGAACTCAAAAAATAAAGATTGAGCATAAAAACCAAGAAACAAGAACCTTAAAACACATACTAAAACTCTTCTGGCAACTTAAAAAGGAATGATCTATCCACCGACTCAAGGAGCCCTAGATCACCAAAAGAGCAACCATCCACATCTTCATCAGCAGCACAAAGATTCAAATCCAAACAAGCGCCTGAATCCATCTCCTTCTCTGATTCATGAACTTTCATTTCCCCACTCTCCAGTTTCTGCTTCACGGGCGGAGAGCAAGCCCTTGACCTTGAGTCAAAGCTCTCACAACTTAAAATGATGATAGCATCACCAGTACTAATTTCCTCACCATTACAGCTGCCTATTTTCCCTGTCTCTATTGCTGCCTTGATACCCATTTGAGAGCATGAATCCACTTGCTCAATGTCTTCCACTAGGAAGACCCGATGTGGATTCTCACGGATTGCTTCACAAAATCTTTCAAGATAGCTATGACTTGCTTCTGACCTAGAGCGTTTATTTCGAATATCTTCAGTGGAACCAGACCTAATCGATGAGAAACTGCTGAGTTCAATTGAGACAAAATTTGCGTAGGAACTAAAGACGAGGTTTGCTAGCTCTCTAGCAATCTTCTCTTTGCCTTCAACATCACCACCTTGGAAAAACAGCCACGCCTCTTCCTTGTTTCTTGACAATTTTGACCTTCCTTTCTTCCTCATCATCCCGGATCTACATTGCAGAATGGTGCTGGCAATTTCAGGAATGATGGCATTCTGCCATGACACCTTTTCCTCCAGCGCGTTGCATAAAATTTTCAGGTTCTCAGCATTGAGCTCCTTAAACTTTGAGAAATACTCCATTTCCATTGTGTCGCTAGAAGAAGTTGAGTTAGGGTTGGGCTTAGGGTTTGAGCCAGGTGAAGTGGATTGTAAGTAGAACCTTGAGCTGTGTCCAAGTTCTCCGTCTTTAGGCTCTGGCATTAAGCAGCTCTGGTGTTCCCTCTGCTGGTGTTTGGAAAAGGATAGGGGGTGGAGAGATTGCTGTAAGGCCAAGTAGGGCTGCTGGTCATAGAAAGAAATGGAAGAAGAAGATGGAGAGACTGAAGAAAATTGGAGGGTGATCTCGGACGAATGATTTTGGTGCTTGTGGGTCGAGTCGCATATAGAGTTCCACTTCTTGCATAGTTCTTGCGTAGACTCCTACAGTAGAGAGAGAGAGAGAGAGAGAGAGAGAGAAATTTTAGTCTAAAGCTCTCGGTATCCATAGTGTTATGCATGCTAATATGAGAGGGCTTAATTCTGATAAGCTCTCCGTACCTTATTGATATTTGTTGCCCTCTCATTCTCTTCCTTGTACTGTTGAAGCCATGAAGGTAGATTTGAGGTGATCATTGAACCTTGAGTACTGCTTGAAACTTTAGAAAGGCTTCGAGCCTCGTTCTCAAATTTGATAGAGCAATCTCCACAACAGCTAAGCTTACTTCCTGCTGCATCTTCTATCAAAGGGCGCCAACTAGGTTCATCTCCGGGTCTCTTGCTTTTGGACAGGCTTTGTGAATCACTGGTAAAAGCATTAAAGAAGAAAATTCAATACAGAACTCTATTACCTCGAGATAATTCTATGTGATTTTTTTTTTGTGTGTGAAATTTTAGAGACACCTGAAGCAAATATATTACGAGAAAAAAAAACATAATTAGATGACCCAAAATTAGGTTTTCTTGTCAATCCTTCCAAAAAAAAAGTGTGCTTCTGAAAATAATTTACATTTCTTATAAATTCGTATCCCACCCTTACACATTGGAAAAAAAAATTCCAATGTTTTATATTGGTAAATTATTAAAAAGAAGAGAAAGTAAGGAAGAAAAAGGAGAGAATATAAGGTGCAACTTTTCACACTAAGGTCATAAATCCAAGCTTTCTTTAGAGAATCACACGGAAACCCACATCGCAAGCAAGTAGTTTCACAACCACAGATATTCAGCAAAACAAGAGAATACGAAGACGACTCAAAACTGGAAATTAAAAATTAACAATAAGAAGAAATTAAACAGGAAATAGAACCGATCGATTACCTGTCACAGTTGAGGCTCAG